CTCTGCCCTGGTGAGACGCCACCTGGAGTACTGGGTCCAGTTCTGGGCTCCCCAGTTCAAGAAAGATGAGGAACTCCTAGAGAGAGTCCAGAGGAGAACAACTAGGATGATAAAGGGACTGGAGCATCTCCCCTATGAGGAAAGGCTGAGAGAGTTGGGCTTATTCAGCCTGAAGAGAAGACTGAGAGGGGACCTCATCAATACATACAAATATCTTAAGGATGGAAGTCACGAGGATGGAAGCAGTCTGTGCAGTGGTGCCCAGCGACAGGACAAGGGGCAATGGGTACAAACTGAAACATAAGAGGTTTCAGTTGAATATCAGGAAAAACTTCTTTACTTTAAGGGTGACAGAGCACTGGAACAGGCTGCCCAGGGAGGCTGTGGAGTCTCCCTCTCTTGAGATATTTAAAGCCTGCCTTGACAAAGTCCTGCGTAACATGCTCTAGGAGAACCTGCTTTAGCAGGGGGGTTGGACTAGATGATCTCCCAAGCTCCCTTCCAACCCTTGCAATTCTGTGATTCTGTGACAACCTATGAGATAATGCTCTTAATGGCAAATAAACCAAGAAGGGTTTCGAAGGGACAATGTTTGAAATGAAATTTTTCTGTCTTCAGACAAGAACATCCATATTTCACATGCAATTAACCGGTACAAGAAAGCTAGGATCTACCCAAGTGGCACTTAGGAACTTTACATTACTACAGAAGGTAAGCATTGCATTGATCTCTTATGCAGTGTTTTATCCAGAATGATAAAAATCTTTTTAAATCTGGGGTTTGGTAGCAAAATCCAATTTTGTTTTAAAGTCTAATTTGATTTAAAATGCTCAGGAGCAGGAAGATGTATTAGTCCCGTCTTAAAAACTCAGGTAGAAACGTGATTCTAAGTCTAGTCAGTCTTGATAACCTGGCATGTTTATGGATGCAGCACTGCTTTTATTGAGGGCAATGGTAAAACTCCCATTGATTTTGATAGTGTAGAACCAGACCCACAGGAATTTCATAGTTGGCTATTTTTTACATCTGTTAATTTTGTGATCAGATACTCAGTGCTGTTCTTTGATAGGCTGCATAAATGTTCTTACATCATCCATCAAGCAGATTATAAATAAGAGGGGCCTTAATAATAATTAGTAATATTTTAGATTTATTCTAGGTTTGTGTAATTCTATTTAAATACTTCATTTTCCCATTCACCAACTGGTACTTTTACAGCCTTTTCTAAAAATAAGTATTTTTCAAACACTGGTTAAAAAAAAGAAATTAAAGTGCAACTTTGTTTCTAAAACATTTTACTGAACATTATTTTAAAAAATGAGTTCTTGGTTTTAAGTGATTAAACTTTAAAAACTTTAAACTTCAAAAAAATTTTCAGACTTCATTGTCTTGATTTACTTCAGTGGAGTATGGGTTTGGAAGGAATCACACGGACCATTCATTGAATTAAGCCTATGGAAATCATGAACATGGAGCAGACATTTAGCCCAGAGCTACTGCAGACCATCCTCATGTACAACACATTAACAAACCTTTCTAGTGCTCTTTAAGATTTGCAGTGTTAAGCAAACAAGTAAAACCCCACAACTATAAGCTTCTACAGCATGAGAGTAGGAGATAAATGTCCCAAATTCCTGTGACAGGAAGGAATTTGATAGGTAAAATTCCCAGCTGATAGTAGGAAGGAGACCATGTCCCACACCACAAAGGAAGACAAAAAGTCCTGAGTGTCTCTGAGAAGCTGACCAAGCAAAAAATTCTGCAACTCCAAATCTGGTGGTTAAGATTGAGAACAAGAAGACGGCACACTGACCTTGTGGAGACCAGTGCTACCAGGAGCACCAAGCCATGTAGTTCTGCGTGCTGTCTATGCCCCTTCCAGAGGACGTGAAGAACGAAATGCACCCAGAAGCCAAGTTATTCAGAGAACAGGAAGGGAAAAAAACCCCACCTTGGTTCTGCTGCATGATCAGCAGAGGTAGTGAGGCATAGCGTGATTTAAATGATTTAAAAATGATGCAGAAAAAACTAGCACCACAGTCTTCTTTCAAAGTACCCTGGAAAACTGAGCCTCTCTCATATATGTAAGAATTCATCTCTCAAGCTTAAATTCCACTTTCCTGATTTTTCACATTTTGTATAGCATGGTGGTGCTTTTCCAGGCATATCAAGCATAAAACAATGCACAGTTTTTGTCTTCTCCCTAGTTTGAGACGTCTCAGATAGACAGGATGTTTTCCAACTCCTAGCCTTAGACATTCCTACTTGTATCAATACTTTTCTTTGGTTTAAATGATCCTCTTTGATGTGTGCATTACGTTGTGTGATAGACATCCCGTTCTCTTGGTCACTAGAATAGCTGTCAGTATATAGCAGCCCTGAATCAAGTCAATGAAATCCGTGCATAAATAGTTTGTAAGTACACATTTTTTGGATTAAAATAGTGTCTGAGGCCTAATATTGTCTATATTTATAACTATCACTTCTAGCACACAGAACAGTCTGGGTTTTTTGTTATTCTGTATGGGGTGTTTCCCTGGCTGAAACACAGACACACACTTTTCCTATTACATTTGGCCAATGATTTCTTATCTGATAAAAATTCAATGTATTTTAAGGGGAAATCAACAGTCATCTACAATTGTAGCCATTTGAATGGCTTGAAGTATATTTACATAAAAACTTAAACTAATTTTATACTTTCTATTGAAATATAACTTGATAGAATTGGATTTATAAGCAGTACCTAGGTTTTGTTATGTCACTAATTTAAAAACCCCTTCCAAAAATCATGGGCAAAATCTTCCTCAGTCACACTGTTCTAAATCTGAATGAATCTTAGGAAAGGTGAGTTAACATGGTGAGATGCCTTTGTTTTAAATTTCAGCAAGCTATGAGCTTACATATTTCTTAGTGCATTTATCTGATTCCGTCCAATTGGTTGTATCTCCTAGTGTGATGTAGAAATGCGATACCACCATATATGAGGAAAAATAAAGATACAAATAGATATTTGATACACAGAATGCTTATCATGTACTGAGTAAAAGGGGACAGGAATCCATATAGGAGATGTTTCCTTGTGCTGAAAAGCTTGATTGCTGAAATCAGACTTGGAAGAGGTCCTCGACCCATGCTAATCCAATTGTACTGAGGCTCTGTCCTTGGGTTAGTGCTAGTTGGCCTAATGCAAAACCGCGCCAGGAACCATGCTGATGACTTAATGGTAGGGATGATCACCTGCCAGTTCCCAGGCCTGTGCCCAGGCCCTGGCCAGTTTACTGCTATGGACATAGCCTAAGGCTTGGTCCAATCCCACTACATCAACAAAGTCAATGTGTCTCTCCAGTGAGAGTTAAGACTTGGCCTTAGGCGTGTAGTTTTATTAACATTCAGAAAATTACAACATAAGCAAAAATAACCCCAAAGAAAAACAAAAAAATAGAATCTTGAAAATGAAACATATGCTTGCAGATTCAGTGCAAAAGCAAACTGAAGCAGAAGTTGCTAATATGGTTTTAGTACTTTGTGAAGGTGCCAGCTGGATGGATGATAATTTTTCTACCCCTGCAGGGCATCAAAGCTTTTATAAAATCATTCTTTTCACACATATTAGCACTTAGCTTATTAAAACAGATGATACTTTTTTTTGTAAAGCTGCCTGGGAGTGTCTGGAAATAAAAAATCTGAGAGATAAGTCTCATTTTGACCACCCAGTCTAACAAACAACAAACACTGACATGACATACCATGGCTGAGAGTGTATGTTATGGGACCTTCTGTGACTGCCACAACTGTAGTGTCACAGTAAAGGCTGTGAATTGCTGTTATGAAAACATTTGCTGTAACTTGCATAATTAAATGAAACTGCCAGCAAAGCTTTCTAAAATACTTAGGAGATGACATACAAATAAATACATTTCGAAGTCTGTATTATGTTCCAGAATTTGTTTTGTAATAAATTGCACTACACAGTGCCAGAGATGACTTCTTTCCCCGTTCAAATTCCTACATAATTATAAGTGACTGACATCACTGTCATGTAAATGGATCCAAATTTAGAATAAAATAACTTTTATTTTAGACATACTTTACACGTGTAGTGCTTTGAATTTACACAGAAGGTACAATTTCAGCTGCCTACAGCTTCTCCTTCAGACAACTCAGAAAGGGACATACAAGACATAAATTAGTGGTCAGAACTTGAATGAGCAGAAATATGCCCAAGAGCGTTGCTAGCGGTCTTACAGGAGAGCCACGTATGAGGGAAGTTTTGGTAGAGTAGGTGATCATTTCTAACAAACAGAGGAAGAATCAGGGTGAAGGAATGAGTGGAGGGAGGCTGCGGAAGCCAGTATTGAAGCCGAGGGAAATTATTGCGAAGACACAGGCTAGCTAGCAAAGTGTGGGCCTCAAGGATGAGGAAGAGGACTACTCTGAACTTGCAGAAGCGGGATTAGAATTCTTACAACAAGTTCAACAATTCAATAAATTTTTGGTAAACTTTAAGAAATTGTAAGTCTTAAACTAAAAATCCATAAACCAAAATTCTAAAAGTCATTCCATGAAAGCACCAGTCAAACCCTGGCATAACTGGCCTCTTTCTGTATGCAAGCAGGCAGTGATACGTGCAAGTTCTTTGTTTAGGGAAATTAGGTCTGCAATGGAGTCCACAAACCACATCAATCCAATTCGCTCCATTAACACATTCAAAACGAAAAGATGGAATAAAACTGGACTACTCACAGTGGAAAAATGACTATTTCAAATAATAATCTTCTACCAATTTTATTTATGCCTTGTAGCACTTAAAAGCTTCATGCAGAAAATGTTTAAAGAAAGGCCACCCTTGACAGCCGAAGATGGTAAATAAAAAAGCAAAAGAAAAAATGGTCAACAGGGAAGAATATTGGAACGGCTTGTTGAACATCATCAAAATGCAGCTTATCCCTTATGATGTAGTAGTGATACCAGCAAGCTTTGCAAGGGTAGTTACTTACATCAAATAACTTCTCTATGTACATTTCCTCATTGACCTTTTCTCGAAGTATATCCTGGTTTTGTCGAACAAACATAATGTAGGTATCTGCCAGATCCATCCCTGGTTTCTGTGGAGACATAAAGTC